GATAGATAGATAGATAGATAGATAGATAGATAGATAGATAGATAGATAGATAGATAGATAGATAGATAGATAGATATCACTAATTATTTATTTAAAGCATAAATTATTTATTTAAAGCACAATCTTATTTTATATATAAATGTATTTTTGTTTCTACTTTATTTCATATTTAAAAAAGCATTTGAAATCCAACATGTCATGCAAACAAAATGTAAAAAAAAAGATGAGAACATTTTTCTGTTTGACAAACAAAATCCTTTCATGCATGATCTGATCAAACACAGAATTATATTTGAACAATGCATGGGCAGTGTGTTCCCTGGAATCAGCGGGGTATATTCCGTGGAACAAACTGGGACGTTACGTTCTCCAATCAAGCCTCACCTGCCTGTACTATTAATAAGAGACTTTCCACGGCCGCTCAGGATATCTGTGACGCCAAATTTTAGCTCGTGTTTTATTAAAATCCATCCTGTGACTCATGAGATGTTTTGCTGACTCTTACAGCTAATGCTAAAACGTTAGGAAAACTAATTGCGCAATCATTCTCAATGACCTCCCTAAAATTTAGCTCAATATCTATGCGATTTAATGAATTTTAGCAATGATTTAGTGTTTTTGGCTGATGTGGCGGCCATTTTGAAATAGATGAATCAATGGATGTACGTCCAAACGTGGGAAATGACTACGTCTTCCAAGAATTTCTCATACGCTGGGCAAATATCAGAGAAAAATGTAAATACAAACCTGTTTTCAGTTGTTTGTCTTCAGTGTAACTCCTCATGTGCTCTTTTTTTTCCTTTGCAAGTAGCTCAGGCTAACGGTGAGATTTCACAGTCAAGGACCGTGAAGCCTTTTGTCAACAAAGCCTCGCACGTCAACACATTAACAGTGAGCTAATACAGTTTGGCACTTTCACATAGTGTTTGCTTTTCTCTGAACTCAAACAGCTGCCAAAGCTTCAAATTGCTCGTTAGAACTGCAGAGTGATGCGATTAGAGCTGAAATATATTTTAAAAAAAGAAGTTCAGGTTTGCTAAAGCTAGCTAAAGTTCATCAGAACAGCTGCCTCGTGATGGCTTCAATGTTTGCACACATTCATAAAAACAGATAAAAGTGACGAGAACAGACAAAGCCACGCAACACACTGCACAAAGCATTTTGTTGGTGCTTCAGAACAACGTGTTTGATAGGAAGCCCGATACGCCGCGCGCCTCGCGCTCCTGCTCGTCTTGTGCGGTGACATTTTTATCGAAGAAGGACGCGGCKCTTTTGGCGGCAGCCGGGAGAGGCCGAGGAGGAAAGAAAACAAGTCGAGACAACAGAGGGAGGAGAAGAAATCGTTAAGCACCTGTAGTAAAACACAATGCGCCGTTTCGAAAACGGGCGATGGAAGGAATTTTTCCGAAATGGGCCAAGTCACGTCTCCGAGGCCTCTGAGACAGAGAGATGAAAGCGAGACGGAGCAGAGGAAATGAGGGCTGAGGAGGCGTCACCTGAAGATCTGCCTGTTACTGACAGGATCCCAACCAGGCGAGACACAAAAACTGACTACAGAGGGCGGAGGGCTGGTTGGGGGTGGCTGCCATCGCAGACAGCTGTTTCTAACCACATCATCAAACTGCTCGGAGCAGAGCAGATAAGGAGGCTCGAGTCTCCGAGAAAAAAAAAAAAAAGCTTTTGTTTACCCTGGCGTTTGTGAAACACTCCTGTTATTTATCGGCAGCGTACAGCCAAGAAGAGGCCGGCGCTGTCCAATGAAACTGAGTGATTTTCTTCACGAAGCCAAGCGTAGAAACGTCTGGTTCCTGTGATGTTTGTGGTCATGATGGCTCATTTACAAGCAGGGGACATGAAGGATGTTTTTTTTTTTTGTTATGTCTTAGACGATAAACACTTCCATGATCGCCGATCTGATGCGACAGTGAATGTTTACAACTGTCTGGTGTCTAGGTCACGATTCACATAAACAACAACGAAACCCCAAAAAGCAAGAGGTTATCTTCAAACAAAAGCTTTTAAAACATGAATGTTTCTGCTTTGTTGATTAAACCTTTTGGGTAAAGTGTCAGACTAAACATGAACACACATGTGTAGCTTCATGTTCCTYTGAACGCAGCTGCCAAGGTTAGTGAAAACTATAAGATTTGTAGGACAACCTCCTAAGATGTGGACGCAAGAGGAAATGCAACCCCGGGTTCACCAGACTGCAAAAATCGCCCATCTAACCAAATCTTACACTCTKATATCCAAATTAAAAAGTGTTTTGGATCTTGTTTTGAGACTGAAATACTCAAGCCCAATTATTGATTCTAACTTCACAATTATGATTATTTTTGATATTTTCTTTTTTTAATGAATTGTAGCTATTTTGTAACCAAATACGTTTCTTTGCTTTTAACATCAGTATTTTTACCCTTGTATCAGACTGTGTCTGTTGTAACAGAGTACTGTATAACTTGAAAACAAATTAGAGCTGCAAAGCAGTTACGACAGGGGTCCAAGCCCATTWAWGCATGTCAACCTTGGCCCATGTYCTCCCCAGCAYGCTATGGGTTTGATCACCACAGAGTTGTAACATGAGGAGTAYGTATAATGTTTATTTGAAGCCCTAATGTTTTTAATAGATCTAGGTCTCTAAAAATAAAAATAAGAATGGCCGATCTACTAAGATGTGGACACAAGAGGAAATGCAACCCCAGGTTCACCAAACTGCAAAAACTGTCCACCTAACCATGTCTTACACTTTTATATTCAGCTAAAAAAATTGATCTTGTTTTGAGACATATACTCAAGCCTGATTCAATTTTAACTTCACAATTATGATTATTTTGATTTTTCTTCTTAAAAAATAATAGTAAACATTTTATAACCAAATATGTTTCTTTTCTTTTAACATCAGCATTTTTATCCTTGTATATGTTGTAACCGAATACTGTTTAACTTCAAAAATAAATTAGAACTGCAAAGCAGTTATGAACGGAGCCCAAGCCCATTTATGCATGTCAACCTTGGCCCATGTCCTCCCCATCACCCTATGGACTTTTGCTCTCCCAGTTACTTGTTACATCCGTATAATCTGATCTTTTTACAATTGTTTTTAGATTTTTGCAGTGTGTTTGTGAAGATAATAAAAAAACAGCCAAGAAAGCCATTCAGAATCACCCAARCTGAACTCCAAGGTCATTTTCTGATCGTACTACTTGCCATATTTTAAATCATGTTGGATTCCATGGAAGATGRTTTATAACTATTGGTAGAAAAACACAAAAATACAGATAGGAATTCACCAAAATATCTGTTGATGTGTTTCTGAAACTGAGTTTTATGGCTCTATGCACCTCAGTTGTGTTTCTTTTTTTCTTTTGTCTTTTGTTCCAACAAATTTCTCATAATCTGTACTGAATTTTGGATGAGTCGAGGTGAACTTTTCAAACCCAARAACATAATAACACCGTAGCACGGTGGTGGTAACATCATGCTGTGGAGCCACAGGAACATTGYTCAAAGTGGATGAAATGATAAATAATGATTACCTCCAAATTCTTCATCTTCAACTGAAATCAACAGCTGAACTTTTGAAGCTTAAATTCGATTGAGTGCTCCGACACACCAAACACATCAAAACAGGTTTCTGAATGGAAGAAGCTAACATTTAGCTTCTGGACTGGCTTTCCCAAAACTTTGAAATCAGTCCTGTTGAAAATGTATAGACTCTGCTGAAATGGAAAGCAACCAATTTAATCAGTTCTGCCAAAAACAAAGGGCCTCATGCAAGAACCGTTCGTACGCACAGATTTGTTCTTAAGTTGTGCGTACGAGTGATTTAGGAG